GGAGAGCATCCTCTGCTCTAGCTCCTGCGTGGTCCTTTCTGTGTATGACTGACAGGCTGGCCTTCCTGAGGTTATTCCTTTGTATCAGAGTCTCACTGGTGCTCACCCTCAACTTAGAGGACAAAGTCCTCCGTAAATCTGCTTTCTTTGTGTCTGTTACACAAACTGGTGATCACACCAGCCTGCTCTGCCCAGGCCCTGTTTCTATCCTCCCATTGGCCCTTGACCAAGGTATATGCATTTTTTATTTTATCCCTGTGTTGATGACACGTGTTGCACAGCTTAGACCGTATCAGGGGCTCGGAGGCCAGATGACAAGAAGCCCTAGACTCTGGACCCTGCACTGTCTTGGGCACATCTGGAATATTGTGTTCTTCTCTGAGAATCCTTTTCTGACTTACCAACACACTTCCAGATGATGGCAGCCGGGGCTGCGATGGGGCTGGAAACTGTCCCATGAGCCTTTAACTGGGACCACATTCAACATGATAGCTTTCCATGGAAAGGAGCACAGACTTTCCTTGTGTGGCCAAACTAACACTTGCAGAAGATCTAGGAAGCAGGTTTCAGTTTAATAGAAATGAAAACTCTGTGGTACTTAGTGTCTGTTGGCTTAGCCATCCTTTATTGAGCACAACACCCTATTTAAGGTATTGTAAGTGCTCTGTGTATACTGACTCATTTTATCCTCACACTCACCCTATGGATTTAAGTGCTCATTTTACAAGTGAAGTGGACATTTGGGTTTAGTAATTTGGTGCAAAGTCTCATAGGTGGTGAATGGTAAGCTAAAACTAGAACTAGAACCAGAACTAACTTGGAGCCCGTCCTCTTAACCACTTCTCTGCTGCTCTCAGAAGTGTTGAATAAAGGCAGATTAACCACTTTCCAGGGCTGCTATAGAAAGACTCCTGCTTATGTATTTTGCTGCCCTGGGAGGCCCCTTCCAACACCTACATTCTGGGACCTCGTCCCACCCTCACCTGAGATTCACCACCTTCATACTGCAGCCCAGTATGGTGGCACAGCCGCCAGCACACCTTCCTCCAGCAGCCTGTATCCAGCACACAGGGCCACTGACCCCTTGGCCGTGATTATACTCTGCCATAGGCTGCTCACCTCCCCGCTCGAAGTGCAGCCTCCCTTCACAGGACCAGGGACTGGCTCTGTCATCTCTCCTTTCCCCTAGCACCCAGTATGGCTACTTCACATGGTGGACATCTGTTCTGGTCGCTCTTTCACAGCTGGCCCCAAATGGTGTCTGACGCATGTTTCATTCTAAAATCCCAGGATAGAATATGTAACGGTGACTCCAGAAGGATTCCGATACCGGGGCCAAATCTTCCCAACCGTGAATGGACTCTTCAGGTGGTTTAAAGATCATTACCAGGATCCTGTACCCGGTGAGTTCTGCTCTTCCCTGACTTCAGGGGTGTGGTTGGAGGGACACCAAGGGCCTGACTCAAAGTACTCGCTGACTTGTGGGGAGGGTGAGGCGCAGGCTGTCGTTGCAGCCGTCCTACTCCTCCCCCAGCCTCCTTAGCCTCAGGGAGGCTCTCCATCCACTGTGCCTGTGCAGTTGCCCTTCTCCCACCATCTATCTCAGGGCTTCTTCCAGCCCCCTGAATTGTAGCCATTTCTTAATAGGCATCACCCCCAGTAGTAGTAGCAGGACCCGGACACCTGCCTCCATCAATGCCACCCCAGCCAACATCAACCTTGCAGGTGAGGAACTTGGGCCTGGGACTGGGATGGGAGGGGTGGAGCTAGAGGGACTTTCATCTCTAACATACCCATCCCCGCCTCTGTGTGCTTACAGATCTGACACGGGCTGTGAACGCCCTGCCCCAGAACATGACCTCGCAGATGTTCAGTGCCATTGCTGCCGTGACAGGCCAAGGACAGAACCCTAATGCCACCCCAGCCCAGTGGGCTTCCAGCCAGTATGGCTATGGCGGCAGTGGAGGGGGCAGCAGCGCTTACCATGTATGTGGCTTTGGGAGGAGCCTCCCTGTGCAGGATGGGGAGGAGGGAAAGGGAACAATCATCCTTTGCTAAGCCGTGTCCCATAGACTGGCCTCTGGCAGTGCCCACCACAAGGGGCCTCATGCACAGATGGGGCTACCCCGGCCTTAGGACCTGTCTCCAATAGATGTGCACTTTCCTCAGCCCCATTTTAGGGGGAAGGGAATATGAGAGGGTCTGATCTCTCCAAAGTCCTTTGGGATCTTTGGAACCCTCAAGCCACTAGAAACCTGAGGTGGTCAGGACAAGTGGGCCCCATTGTGTGCCAGATGCCATCCACTGGCTTGTCTATGCTGCTCAGAACCACCCACTGCTCAGAGGAGGGTTAGCTGGAAAGCTCTGTGCTAAGCCCACCCTTGCAGCCTGTCAGAAACTCACAGCAAGGCCAAACAAGCCCAGAGCCCATCCCTACTTAACTGTTCATGCCTCTCCAGGTATTCCCAACGCCAGCCCAGCAGCCAGTGGCCACACCACTAATGACCCCCAGCTACTCCTACACGACCCCAAGCCAGCCCATCACCACCCCACAGTACCACCAGCTACAGGCCAGCACCACCCCGCAGTCTGCCCAGGCCCAGCCCCAGCCCTCCTCCAGCTCCCGGCAGCGACAGCAGCAGCCAAAGTAAGTATCTGGACAGTGGCTCAGAGGAGGTTATTAGTATCAAGCGGCCGAGGGCTTAACAAAGGCAGGTGTTCTGGATCCTCTGAGAGCCATGACCCACGTGGTGCCCCCAGGGACCCTGGTTTCTAGGGGAAGACAGAAGAGGGCAGTGTGGCAGCCAGCCACTGCTGCTTCTGCCTCACCCTAGCAGAGGGGCTGCTGCCCATGAGTGTGAGGTCCCTTTCTGCAAGGGTGGGTGCTCACCAGTGATTGATGGGAAGGCTCCCTTCTAGCGAGCCCCTAGAGAATCCCACTTTAAAGGACCCTTTCTTCCCTTTCCCAGGTCCAACAGCCACGCAGCCATCGACTGGGGCAAGATGGCAGAGCAGTGGCTGCAGGAAAAGGAGGCAGAAAGACGAAAACAGAAGCAGCGGCTGACACCTCGGCCCTCTCCCAGCCCCATGATCGAAAGCACCCCCATGTCCATTGCTGGCGATGCCACCCCACTCCTAGACGAGATGGATCGGTAGGGGACCTGCTCCTCGGACTATGGTTACCTCTGAGGCTGTGAAAGGCCTGGCCGCCCACAGCCTCCCTCCCTGCCCCTCCTTTTCTGTCCATAAAGTGGCGTGAAGTGACGTTCTCTTTGGTGGTCAGCCTGGATGGGCGACAGGCTGGATGGCCTTGCGAACTTGAGCTCAGTGTACGCTAGGTAACAATTCTCCCACTCCGGATTCTCACCGACCACCTGTCCTGGGACCAGGCTGGGAGGGGAGTGTGGCAGGGAGGAGGAAGAGGAAGGTGAGAATGAGAGTGGAACAGTTTTGTATTCTACTCCCTACAAGCCATTTTGAGCTGCTGCCCTCACCTGACTTGGCTGTGACCAGGGCACCAAGCTCAGCACGCAAGTCTCCCCTAGCTCTTATGGGGAGAGGGATGCTATTTATTCAGTTTGGGGCAGGAGGGAGAAGAGGGAAAGTATTCCTGAACCTGATGCCAACAGCCTGGGTGGCTGTCAAAGCAGGATTGCAGGGACACAGGGGAGCAGTGCTAACCTGCCCAGCCCTGCCTAGCTGCCTTCCCCACCTGCCAACACCACCGCTTCCTGCCTGTCATTTGAATAAACAGTGTTTCTACAGAGCTCTTGCCAAAGCCTCTCTCTCCCAACTCTCCGACTCTTTGTGGGGTGACTTTCAAAGCAGCGTTTGGAGCTCTGCGGGCTCCCTGAGTCCCTATTCCGATCCATCAGAGGCGATGATTCCTACAACAGGCTTCTGCATCAGACTGCCTGGGGCACAGCCCTGCTCTACTTTCTAATCCTGTGACCCCGTGCCAGCTCCTGTAGTCTCCCAGCTGGCTTTCCTTATCTGTAACAAGAAGACAGTGATACCTACCTCATCGGCCACTGGGAGGACTGAGACGGAGTGTGTGTGAGCTGCTTGGCCCAGTGCCTGGTACCTCATAAAGGTTGTACACTCACTCACGCTTAGCTGCCCCATCCATGCCTGCTAGTCTCTGGCATACTGGAGAAAAGCCACAAGTAAATCTGGGTTTCTCAGCTTGAGCCCCTGCACCTCCCTCTCTTCCCTTCCCTTTTCCCAGCTAGGCCTTGGTCTCTGACATTTTCTAAACAAGTCAGGTGTTTGTGTTCCTGGTGGGTCCCATGCTTAACCTGCTCCGACACACACACCCTGGCCCCACCGCAGTTTTCCTTCTGGACTCCTGGTGTCCCTGTTTCTTCACAAAGGCTTTATCTCTCAGCTCTGTGAGTCGGCGCCCGGTGAGGCTTCTGCCTCCCTCTCCTCTGCCTGGGGCTCAGCTGAGAAGTTGGAAAAGGCCGCTGCTGCCTGGACTTGGTGCATTCCCTCCCATGTTTTTCTCCGTCAAGAGCTGGGGGAAGGAGCTGGCCACCAGCCAGGACTCAGCTCTGTTCCCCTCAGCACAAAAGGTCCTCCAGGGTCTCAGAGGCAGGGCCACTCAGAGGAGGAAAAGGCCAGGCACAGTGGCACAGAGTGGGTCAAAAGGTTCCATTTATTGGGGGTGTCACTGCAAACAGTACTGCCTATCCTAGAAGTGAATTACACACAAAGTGGTCTCCCAGGAGAGAGGGGAAACCCTTCCTTCCCCCATCCAGATGTACTCTTCCGCCCTGGTCCTAGGGTGTCAGGAAGAAACAGGGCTGTGCCCCTCTCCTTCCCTCCCACCTACCTTCCCATGGGCTTCCTCCTTGAAAGCTGGATTGCCTCTCAGAAACCCCTGCAGCCCCGAGCCCACCCCTCTCCCCAGGAAGTAGCCAGGTTGGAGGGAGAGAGAAGAGCAGCGGGGTTGGCTACAGGCTTGATGGCATTTATTCTTCACCCTGATCGCCCTGGCCTCAACTGAGATTGGGGTTTGACGCTGGGGGAGATTTCCTCTTGTTTACCTTCCTGGTTTGCAAAGCCTTGGCCCCAAGCTTCTTCACCTGGACCGTGTTCTTCTCTCTCTTCCTGGGTGATGAAGACTCAACATCCTCACTGGAGGGCTCCTCCTGCCCCCGGTCATTGTAACTGTCCTCACTCTCCAGCTCTTCCCGGCTTTCTGGGCTGGACTCGGACATCCTGGCCAACTCTCTCGGGCTTAATGACCGCCTCAGGTCTGGAGGTGAAGACTCCGATTTAACCGGGCTTTTCTTCTTAGCCAACTTGCCCTTCTTGGCTTTTTTCTTCAGCTTTGCCTTCTCATCCGTCTCCTCCTCTTTATCTTTCTCTTTTTCCTTTTTCTTCTTTACTTTCTTGATCACCTTGTTGCCCTGGCTCTTCCCTGTGGGGCTGTCAGAGCGCCAGATGGTGATGGGCGCTGCCGAGTCAGGATTACCAGTGACCGTGCTGGTGGCTGGGTCGGTGGGTGTGGTGGTGGGCCCCACCTGGGTGGGGATAAGAGGCTTGCTTTCCTCTTCCTCCTCTTCCTCCTCCTCCTCCTCCTCTTCCTCATCTTCATTTAGCTCATCTGCCCCACATTCATGGTGGAGGGGATGGTGGATCACTGCCACAGAGATAGGCCTGTAGCTTTTGCACCTGAGAGGAGGGGGATGGGAAGAGGAGGTTGATGGGGTGGAGCACGGTACCCACAGAGGCCCCTTCTGCAGCAGCCCGCCACTCACCAGCCGTACCAGAACCGCTCCACACACTCCTCCTCTGGGATGAGCTCCAAGCAAGGGGATGGGATGATGTTAAAGCAGGTTGGGCTTACATCTCGGGAACAGGTTGGGCCCAAGTCTCGGGAGCTGCTATTTGTCTTCTCCGAGCAGTCCTTCAGCCTGCCACACACGGAACTCTCAGCCTGGCTCCCACGCCGCCATGACTCCCCAGGGGCCCAGAGCCAGCACCTCTGAAGGAGTGTGGGCTTCTGCTGGGCTCGGCCCAAGCTACCAAAAGACCTCCTCCCCGTTGCTCCTGGAGCAGAGCAAGGTTTGCCAAGCTGGGGCTGGGCTGGCAGCACCGGGTCAAAACAGAAGAGGGAGATCAAAGGTTGAAAGGGGGAACCACAGTGAAAGTTTGGACCTGGCTCTGCCGTGGGTCCCCTGAGGAGGGGGCCCTCACCTAGAATCACAGTCGCAGTGGTTGACAGAGTGTAGGTGCAGGCTGTGGTGGCCATAGTCAGAGGTGAAGGGGTAGATGATGTGCCCAGTGCACTGCTTATGTTTCCAGCAGCACCTGTCAGTCTCCTTGCAGTCACCTGCAGGGGGAGGGTCTGGGTCACTCAAGGCAGCGGCAGCACAGCTCAATCTAAAGCCTCACCAGATTCATCTGGCACCACCACCTGCCCCCCCACCCCCTGACTGTTTCCACTTTTAATAGTAGTAACTCGGCCCGGTCCCTAGTAAGGACTAGGGACCTTACTGCCGGTTCCTTCTAGACATGGGCTCCACCCCACCCTGGGGCAGGAAGTGGGCGGGCACTGCTGAGTTCCCTGGCAGCCTGGCATGGGGTGCTGTAGCTGGCTAACTCCCTGAAATAGGCCGTGAGGATTGCACCTTCACCCAGGCCCCATCGGGCAGTGAAACTGGGGCAAGACCGTATACTGGCCGCCAGCAGGGAATCAACCCAGACCATGGGTATGTTAGTCCAAGTGGCCTTCTCGTGCTGAGTGGTGGGCAGCTTGGTCTGAGGCTCACCTCACATTGCTCTTCCTTCTCTTCCCGCATGAGGCTGTAAAGATCCTGAGTGGTTCCCTATAGCCGCAAACTGCTTGGTGACCTCTGTTGCTGCTTCCTTGCCTCCTAAGCCCTTTCTCTATCCCCAGGGGAAATGAGGAAAGTGTCTGCGTGGCAGGACCTGGGAACCTCACCACCACCTCGGCCTTGTTCAGCACTGCTGAACTGGGGCAAAGGACAGCATAGTGACAAGTGCCCTGAACTTGTAGTTGGACAGACCAGAGTCCAAGTCTTAGTTCTGTCACTTACTGGCTGGGTGGCCCAGGGCAAATTACTTCTCTAATCCCCAAAACGGGAGGATGGTGATACCTATTTTGCAAGGTTGTTGAGAGGACTCAAGTTCACATACATCAAAGATACTATTTGTGTACCATAAAGTGCTAAACACAGGAAAGGGGTGATGGCAGCCTTGAGAAAGGGCCATCTCTCTGGCATCTGTAGAGGATGGGGTGGGGTGTGGGGGAGCTGAGTAACCCCTAATGGACCAAACACTTCCTTCCTTCCACCAGGTGTTAGCTTTCCCCAGTGAGAGTGGTGGGGACCCTGGGGCCAGAGGTCTCCTGGACCCACCTTCAGAGGAGAAGGTAGACGCATCAGTGCCGGACGCCACACCAGCCAGCAGATGTCCTCTCTCCCAGCTGGGTAACCTGCTTACATCTGAGAAAGCACAGAGTGGCTGCAGTGGCAGCACCCCTCCCCACGCCATTCATCCACCAAACATTTACTCAGGAGCCTGTCAGGCCCCCAGCTGCACCCCGGAGATGCAGAGATTTAAACAATGGTCCTTGCTGTCAAGAGGGTAGGGGACAGGGTGAGGAGAGGGACACAGGGGAGGTTCCTGACAGTAGTGTGAGGCTAATAAAGAGGGAAATGGCAGGAGCACAGAACAAGGGCCACCTACCGAGACTGGGGAGGGGGACAGGGGATTATAGAAAACTTCTTGGAAGGAGTATCATTGGAGCTGGAGTGATGAATAGGAGTGAGCCAAAGCCTAGGCAAAGAGGGGCAGCTCCAGAAATTGTCCCAGGGTATGTGGGCTTGGGCAGAGAGTGTCCCTGAGCAGACCTGCAACTGGGGCGGCAGCTCCCCCAGCCATCAGCAACCACAGGGCAGTCTGCCACTTGCCCTTTTCTTCCCACGACTAGCTGATCCTTTGAGGCACTGGACTTGAGACCTGCTTAAGGAAGGGAAGCTGACTGCTTGGGGTCTTCAGTGGGCACTTGGTCATCCTTCTACAGGTCCCTAGTCAGCTCCTTCTCCTGTTTTCCACAACACAGTAAGTGCTCAAAGTTTGTTAAACGAACAGCTTTAAGCACTTCCTGGAAACTCCTGCACGGCTATTGTTCCTCTCAGCAGATAATTTCACCAGTATTATCTGCAGATGCTCCTACCCTCAACAACTCCTCTAGCCTGGGCATGACGTGTCCCTCCTCCCTTCTCCCCAAAGCATCTGTATTCTAGGTCCCAGCCAGAATTATCATCTTCTCTCTCTTTACTGGCTTTTTTCACCCACTACAAGCTATGAACATCTTTAAACAAAACACTATCAACCCTGTTTCTCCCTCTACCGTATCCTCCCCTTTTCTTTTCAATCCAAGTTTATTCACTTATTCATTTATCAGATGTATACTGGGCCAGTTCACTAGGCACTAGACTTCAGTGAGCTCAGTGTCTCCACCTCTTTCCTCTCTGCCAGCCACCTGCAACATGGCAGCCATCCACACCTCTATCAACACAGGCCACCAGCAATCTCCCAATAGCCAAACCTGGTGGCCACCTTTTCATCTCATCTCACTTGACCCTATTGACAAAGCAATGTCTTTCTTCTGCAAACTCTGTTCCTTGGGCTTCCAAGGCAATCCTCTCTCATCTTCTTCCTTCCCTGACTAGCTCTTTGTTTCTTTCCTGCCTCCCTTGCTGTCCCCTCTTCTCTGCTGTACCCCTTAAGTTGGTGATTACCCAGGTTCTGTATTTGGCCACCTCCTCAAAAGATTCTACAAAAGCTTGTCCTGGATAATGTCATCCAATTCCATGGCTTCAACATCCATCAATAAAATGACACAAATCTAAGTCTCCAGTTCAGACTGCTATCCAGAGGATATGGCCAATGGATGTTCCCAAAACATCTTAAAGTCAGCAGGTCCCACACAGACCCACCATCTTCTCCCTTCCACCCATGAACCTCCTCTTCTCGTATCTGTCATTTCAGACAACAACAGACACCTTGGTTAAAAATCTAGGGATCATCCTTTCCCTCACTTTCACACCAACCTGATGACCAAGCCTTGCCATGCCTACCTGCCCTCACATCTGCCTATGTCTTGGTTTAGACCTTCATCATCTCTGACCTAGACAGCTTCAGTAGCCTCCTGCCTGGCCTCCTGCCTCCTGTCTCACTACCCTTATCCCATCCTCACAATGCAGCCAGACTGAGTTTTCTAGAATGCCAACTGGTCAACCACATCCCTCCTTTTTAATAGCATCCAACTGCCTTCAGGATAAAGTACAAACTCCTTATCATGACATAACAAGTCCCCCAAGACCTGGGCCCTGATTCCTTCCCTGGTTGTCAATTCCTCCCACCTATCCATCCCTCCTCCCAGCCCTCCCTCCTCTATACCTTCTCTCCTGCCACACACTCCCAAGAAATACCTCCTTATCTTGGAAAAAACAATGCTATCCAAGTGGAATTGGTCACATATATCTTATGCCTCTTTACCCTGGAACTTGTGACATTCATGTATTTATAGCTCTTTGAGAGCAAGGCCCATATTTCATCTTCCTCTGTATCCACAGAGCCTGGGACATGGAAAGTACTCAGTTGGCTGATTGAATTAATACATGAGTAGAATAGAATAAACCCCTATTGGAGCCACAAAGAGTCTATGGCACTGTAGATTCTACCCAAGTTTCAAACCTGGGGGCTTTTCCAGGGATAGAGAATTTACGCAGGACACACGCCTTCATAATGCCAGGCGCCATGCTCATCTTTTTAAAATATGCCTTTGATTCTAAATCCCTACCATAGCCCCAATCTATTGATGGGGACACAGAGACTCAGAGAGGATAAGTAATTTGTCCAAAGACACAAGTTAAAGATGGCAGAGGTAGGGCTGGGTGCGGTGGCTCACGCCTGTAATCCTAGCACTCTGGGAGGCCACAGCAGGAGAATTGCTTGAGATCAGGAGTTCGAGACCAGCCTGGGCAAGAGTGAGACCCCGTCTCTAATAAAAATAGAAAAAATTAGCTGGGCATGGTGGCACACGCCTGTAGTCCCAGCTCTTTGGGAGGCTGAGGCAGAAGGATCACTTGAGTCCAGGAGTTTGAGGTTGCTGTGAGCTATGATGATGCCACTGCACTCTAGCCCAGGTGACAGAGCAAGACTCTGTCCCAAAAAAAAAAAAAGATGGCAGAGGTAGGATTCAACCCAGGTCTCCCTGGCTCCATAGCCTCTTTCAGCCCTATCTACTGACTGTAAACAAGGTCACTTCATATGTCATGAGCTCCACAGCTGAGTCTTAAAACCACATTCAGCTCCCTATCTAAAACCTGTCTTTCCAGCTATCACCTCCTACTTCACCTACTTTTCAACTCCAACACCACCAACTCCTCGCCCTCTGGTTTTACTCAATCCTGACTCCACAGCTTCCCTTATCCAGCCTGGACCCTGTGGTCATGCCATAGGGGCCCGAGCCAGGGCCAGGATTCAAACTATGCTCTGACTCCACTGGCCTTGCTCTTTCCAGAGCCACCATGAAAGAGGCTTTTCATGCAGGTTCAGAGCCTGCTTATTTCCCACTGACTAACTCCCCCCAACAAGTCCTGACACCCCCAGCTCTGTTTGTGAGGGGGAGGACAGGAGGAAGGACATAGCTGGAGAGGAATTTAGTAACTCTCCTCAGATCTGAGAAGAACAATCTGCTCTTTAGTTCCACAGAGAACAGAAGAACTCTGAATGAAGCAGCAGTCCAGAGCTCCTGCAGCGGGAGTGATGGAGGCTGGACGCAGGAAGGACTTCATTATGGATGAGGAGGGTGACAGAGTGAAAGGAAGTGGGAAAGTTGCGGTCTTTTTCTCGCGGGGCATAAATCCGAGCGCAGAGGCGTTCCAAACTCACAGGTGATGCTCATTTGTACAGAATCCTCGCCGTCCTGCGGAGCCAAGGAGCTCCCCCTGCCCTTGAGGCACAGGGGGTGGACACCAGAGCAGACGAAAGGGGGAGGGAGGGAAGGAGAAAGGAAGGTGGGGAGGAACCACGGAAGGGAAGGAGGGAAGAGGAGAGAGCAAGAGAGGGGCAGTACGTCCGCGTCTCCTTGGAAATACCTCCCTGGCCCCGCCCTCGCCCAGAGGCGATTGTGATGTCATCTGTGGAACCCCCAGACTCCTTCCCGCCCTCAGGGTCAATGGAACCGCTCGCCCCAGCCCCGGCGCCTGGGTGGGAGCTGGACCCCTTATGGGCTCGAGCCAAGCCCGGCGCCTCATGGGCAGCTGCCAGGGCCCGCAGCTGCGGTAAGTGCCGCCTCCCTGCCCTGTAGCCGAGAGTTCCGGCTCTGGCGCCAGCCACACTGCCCCGGCCCGGCCCCGGGTCCCCCCTCCTCCGTCGGGACCCGGGCCCCCAACCCAGCACCGTCCCACCAGCCCCGGCCACGCCCCCTTCTGCCCGCCCCCCCTTACCGCGGCCCTGGCTTTCGTCCCAGACCTTGGCCTTGCACTCTGTCTTCTCCTCGGTCCACCTTTCGATCGTTACTGTCGTCCTGACCCACATGGCTCTCAGCCCAGTTCTTCGTCTCTACAGGACCCTTCCTCGCAGAAGTCCAACCTCGTCCCAGCCGTAAACTCCAATCTCAGTCTCGCGCCAGTCCAGCCCCTAACTCCGCCTCATGTTTCCCCTTTCCCCCCACCCACCTCCCCCCTTCCCGCTCTAGGCTGCGTTGTCTTCCTAGCCCGGGTCTACGCGCCAGCCACGTTCTTCATCCGGGGCCTCCCAGCTCCTCCCAGGGCCCTCTTTGTGCCTCCTTTAACCCTCGTACTGCCCCTCTATCTCAGACCTTACTGACACGTCCAGCCCTCGGTCCCACCCATCTCCTCTCTAGACCCAGCCCTTAGTCCAGCCCCCACATTGTAGCCCCGCCCCTAGATCGCAGCCCCCAACTCTTAGTGCTACGCCTGGCCACGCCCCCAGCCCCATTCTTAACCCCGCCCCTTCTCTAAACCTCACATTTCGGTCCCGCTCCCCGCCCCTCCCAACTCTTCCAAACCCGGCTGCAGCCCTCAGCCCTCAGCCCCGCCCTGCCCACCCGCGGAGCGACTGCTTCCAAGAACTCCAATCACCGCCCCGCCATCCCCGCCATCCCCGAGGTACCCCCGGGTTGGGCGGGAGGCCAGGATCCCCCTCTCTTCACCCACAGGCCTCACCATAGGAGCCCAAGGCCACACTCTCAGATGAGGACTGGAAGTCAGCTCCCGGCCACCCTGTGGCTGCCAGACCCCGGGCCACCAGAGGCAGCCACCCCTGCGCCACCCCTCGCCCGCCACCAACCCTTCCTTCCCGGCCCCCATGGGGCACTCTGTCCTAGAGACAATATTGCCCAATCAAGAGTCTGTATCTCCATAGGTCTGTCCCATCCGGTGTGCAGGGCAGGCTGCATTCAGGGCAATCTCATGCCAAGTAACACAACACACCCCTCACACCCGTAATTAAGTACAGCATACACACTCTGCACATGCATGTATCACACACAGCACACACAGGAAATCTACTCACCACGCATAGACTAATACAACATGCACACGCCCCTCACACCACACAGAACACAGAACTCCCCACACCTCCCCCAGCACAAACATTCCACCCCAGGACTGTGGTAAAGGCTTCATTCACACACTCACACACACACACACAGACACACACACACATTGTGTTAACAGGCTCCGTGCAAGGCAAGGGTGAGGGGTGCAGTGTTGTGAGGGAACAGAGATGGAAAAATCAATGACAGGAGAGTGTGAAAAAGAAAGGCGCACCACTGACATTCCACCGACATTCCACACACCACACCCCTCAATTTCTCTTGCCACTAGCTTCCAAAGCCAGGATGAAGAGGAGGGGAAAGGATGGTGTTTAAACCTTGTTTTTTCCAGGGCCATCAAGGGTCCCTCCTGCTGCTGCTGCTACTGTTCTGCCTAATCTCAACCCTCGCTTTCTTCCAGACCCAAGTCCTGAGTGGGTAGGGCCACTGCCCAGGTCCTCCTACCCACAGTAGCTCCAGAGGGTTTAAGAACAGCAGGCGTGGGGCAGCCAGGAGAAGGGAGGCATGCAGAGACGCCAGGCATGGAATGGACTGAAGCCAGAATCTGTGTTCTTTCTTGGGGGGTATGGGGTTGCCTTTCCTAAAGGATCTGTGTTCTAATCTTGGCCCTCCATGGCCTCTAAGGATGACAGGGGGCCCATGTGTTGTTCTCCTTTGTTGGCTCAGATGTCTGAGGCACTTTCAGCCAATCTAGAATTCTGGATCAGATGTCAACAGGAAGCCAGCCAGAGGCTGGGTCACTCTTCCCCATATAAAAGTTAATATGCCAGCCTGAGCAAGAGCGAGACCCCGTCTCTACTAAAAATATAAAGAAATTATCTGGACAACTAAAAATATATATACAGAAAAAATTATCTGGGCATAGTGGTGCATGCCTGTAGTCCCAGCTACTCGGGAGGCTGAGGCAGGAGGATCGCTTGAGCCCAGGAGTTTGAGGTTGCTGTGAGCTAGGCTGAAGCCACGGCACTCTAGCCCAGGCAAGAGAGTGAGACACTGTCTCAAAAAAAAAAAAAAAAAAGTTAATATGGCCGGGTCGGTGGCTCAGCCTGTAATCCTAGCACTCTGGGAGGCCGAGGTGGGCGGATCGTTTGAGCTCAGGAGTTGGAGACCAGCCTGAGCAAGAGCAAGACCCCCATCTCTACTAAAAATAGAAAGAAATTGGCCACGTGCCTGTAGTCCCAGCTACCTGGAGGCTGAGGCAGGAGGATCCCTTGAGCCCAGGAGTTTGAGTTTGCTGTGAGCTAGGCTGACGCCACGGGACTCTAGCCCGGGCAAAAGAGTGAAATTCTGTCTCAAAAAAAAAAAAAAAAGGAGACATAAGGCCAGGCACAGTGGCTCATGCCTATAGTTCTAGAATTCTGGGAGGCCGAGGCGGAAGGATCCCTTGAGGCCAGGAGTTTGAGACAGCCTGAGCAAGAGCAAGACCCCATCTCTACAAAAAGGAGAAAAATTAGCTGGACGTGGCAGGCGGCATGCACCTGCAGTACCAGCTACTTGGGAGGCTGAGGCAAGAGAATCGCTTGAGTCCAGGAGTTTGAGGTTGCAGTGAGCTATGATGACACCACTGCACTCTAGTCTGGGAGACAGAGCAAGACCTTGTCTCAAAAAAAAAAAAAAAGGAAAGGCAGGAAAAGGGTGAAAAAGGAAAAAAATTATGCAATGGTGGAAATTTGGGTGTAAGCACCAAGTAGGAGGGCACATTTGGGGGTGATGGACAAGAGGAAAAGGGCCCTCAAAGCCAGCCATTCAGATCTCACCCATGAGGGCCCAGTGCAGCCCCCAAACCTGATCTCTGAGCTCCCAGCCTGACTGAACCTGCCCAGTGGCCAGGGATGGCCAGAATCCCTGTAGGCAGCTTCAGTCCCACGATGGCCATACAGCCCTGACCATTCCACATCCCTCTTCCCCAACAAAGGACTCCAGCCCCCAAAGTGCTAACAACAAAGAGATTTTAATGCATAAGGCACAGTGAGGCTGGAATCATTAAGCATCCTCCTATCCAAAGGGCCCAGTAGGCTGAGCAAAAGCAGCAGAGACACTCCCCTCAGCACCTGCTGGGCAGCCTGGAGAGCCCCCAGAGGACTAGGGGGACATCCAGTATTTGGCATTGCCTTGGGGCAGGAAGTGACTAGCATGGTCCCAGCTACTCCTCTGGGGACACTGCCACAAAGAGGCAGCTCTTTGGTCTGGAAAAACAGTCAGTGCAAATGTCTAGGGGTCATGCTCTGGGGAAGTCAGGGTGGCACAGTGCCCCAGGGTTGGGCAGTCTCTGGACAGTCTCCTCCCCCTTCATGGGCAACATGTGGGCTTCTTCTTGCTAGTAGTTAAGTAGAGGTTGCTGTCATCACTGTTGATGCCTGAAGAAGGGTGGAAAATACGTGAAGCAGGGACTGGAGGGTCCCCTTGCTTTCCGCCACCCTCAGCCAGGCGGGCACTCACGGACAACATCCCCAATGCGCCGGGCCCCTGATTTCTCCAGCTCAGCCAGCACATTGGCCTCAAAGGTCAGTGCCGCCACACGGAAGAAGAATTCCCGCACGTTCTCACCTGGCACAGGGGACAGAGAGGTGCTCAGGGGCAGTGCCAGGTCTAGGAGCATTGGGCTCAGCTAGAGGTGTGAGAGTGAGAGGATAGTAGGCAGGAATGGCACAGCAGAAGGCCCAAAGCCTCTGACTCACCAGTGAGAGATGAGACTGCCCAGTACTCAGCCTTAATCTCCTGGGCCACCTTGAGGGCATCTTTCTCCATTAGCACATACTGAGCAGGAGTCTGAGGGAAGGCCAGAGTCAGATGAGAGGTTCCCTCAGCAAGTTGGGAAGTCCCCCCACTGGCACACTCACACTCAGGTCCTTCTTGGAACCCACAAGGAAGAGAAGCACGCTGGAAGGGTCATTCTCCTTGAGCGCATCAGCTAGCCACTGCCTGCCACAGATGGTGGAAATCAAGGGACAAGTGAGCCTGATGGGCCCCTCCTGCTGCCATCCATATGACCAATTGGCTCCTCTCTGGTCTTAGATGCAGGCCTCTTCTTCCCTGACCACCCCTCTGTTCTGAACCCTCTCTTCCCAGAGTGCCCCATTATACTGCAGCATCCTCACATACTTGGTATGTTCCAGGGAGGCCACATCATTCAGGTTGAAGACAATGATGATGGCTGGAAGAGTGGCAGAAACAGCCCCAGGTTGATGGGGAAGACATTACTGGCTCATTTCCCCAATCCCCCCAGCTCTACATTAGAGGCCAGGTGCAGTCTCAGACCCACCTACCCCACTTCACCCAGCCGCTTACCTTGAGCTCCTCGGTAGTAGGTGGATGCAATGCATTTGAACCTCTCCTGTCCAGCGGTATCCCAACTGGGAGGAAGGAGGAGTGATCACAGGTATGTGGGGACTGGGTGGTAGGGTGTAGGTGCTGGGGGAAGGGATAGCTGGAAGGGGTTGAGGAAGCACTCACAGCTGCAAACTGAAGGGGACGCCCAGCACCTCAAATCGTTCCATCTCAAAGTCCACTCCGATGGTGGCCTTATAATTCTTATCAAAGGTGTCTTTGCAGAACCTGAGGTGGCACCAAATGCTCTGATCTGGAACCCAGCCCACCAGGCTAGGCTCAGCCCCACCCTGCCTAGCCCAGCTCCAGCACCCCCTTACCTATTAATGAGGCAAGTCTTCCCCACAGACAGGTCCCCGACCACAATGACCTTGGAGATCTTAAATCTGCTGGACATAAGAGTGAGCAAGGGGAGTGGGCACCAGCTCTTTCACCCTAGGGAGTTCCAATGCTCCCTACTAGGTCCAGAAAGGTAGCTGCACCCAAGCTGAGGTTACCATAGACACCAGGCCTCCCAGGGAGCTGCCTGGACAGATGTGCTGGGAAGAAGGAGAGTTTTGTCTGTTTTTTTAGAGATGGGGCTCACTCTTTTTGCCCAAGCTGGGATGCAGTGGCACCATCACAGCTCAATACAGCCTCGAACTCTTGTACTCCAGCGATGCTCCCACCTCAGCCTCCTGAGTAGCTGGGACTATAGATAACCAGCTCAGAATGCCTCTTAAGTGATAGTGTTTTCTATTCAATAAAAGACAGTAGCAGAGCCAGGTGTGGTGGCTCACGCCTATAATCCCAGCTACTCAGGAGGCTGAGGCAGGAGGATCCCTGGTGCCCAGGAGTTCAAGGGTATAGTGACCTATAATGGTGGCACTGCACTTTAGCCTGGGTGACAGAGCAAGACCCTGTCTCAAAAAGAAAAAAAAAGGACCCAATACACTGCCTGGCACACAGTAAATGTGTACTAATAAATGTTCGATCAGTGTGTTATTAGTATTACCTCTATTAACTCATGATGAGATTCCTCCCTGTAGACACGGCCAGCCCCTTCCCCGAGGCTCAATGGATGGTATGTGGGGAGCTGAGCAGGTGACCACCTCCCCATGTTGGACGCCTTCTCTATGTCAGGAATCCAGCTGCCACCCTTCTACCCCACCCCATCTCATAGGACGAACAACCACCTTATTGGGAGGAAAGGAGAACACAGTGGCTTCTAAAGAGGAATGACCATATAGCCCACAAGGGCTGAAATGGGGCCCCATGGAAGTGGTTGTGTACCCTTGCTATGATTACAGGGTGTCTGGGAATCTCCTTTCTTTGTTATGGGTGTCCCTAACTCACCCCACGGTGCCTGTCCGGTGCTCCTGGCAGGCGCAGGTGACCCGGGGGTGGAAGTCTTTGCGCACGTGCAAAGCGGCCTCCTTCCTCAGGCACTGAGTGAGAGGGAAGGAAAAGAATGGGGCTCACACGCTCTTGGCGCTAGTCCCGCAGCCAAGAGGCCTGGGTGGGGGTGGGGTGCGGGGACCACCCAGAAGCAGGAGGCCTAGCTGGGCTGCAGGGCTGGGCCCAATGCTCTAACTGGTATGGTGCCGCCTCCTCCCCGCCCACACTCGCTGCAGCCACAAGCCCGACGTGGCCCTGGCGCCTACCTGGGGCAGCTCTGCCAGGACGCGGTCCCTCCGCACCGGCGCCAGAATGTTCATCTTGCCTGCGGCCTTGGGGGGCGCCCTGAGAGGCCTGATCCGCCCCAGCGACCTGGGCCCGTGGAGACCCGACAATCACTCGCGGTCGGGGTGTCCCGACTATAACTCGGGGCCACGGGGAGCCTACGGGAGCCCGTGGTCTCGGAGACTCTACGACCACCGCAGGCCACGGGGAAGAGACGATCACCCGGGGCCGGGGCGATCCCACAATCACCCTGGCCCGGGGTGTCCCGAAAACGACTCGGGGACGAGGAGACCCCTCGGCCACCAGTTGGGGACGGGGAGTCCCGTCGCGGGGGGCCCGGGCACGCGTAGACCCTACAATAACGCGGGGCCGGATAGTTCCTACAATAACCCGGGGCCGCGGAGACCCGACGTCAACTCGGGGCTGAGACGGCCCTACCATAACAGAGCGGCCGTGGGGCACGGAGCGGCCCCGCCACACGGGGTCAGTGTGGGCAGGGGTGGCGCAGCCACGGCCCGCGGGCCGCTAGAGGAGGGGGCGAGGGGCCCAGTCCAGCTGCAGATCTCGCGCCTCACTCCGCTCTGGCTCCGCCAGCGCTGTAACTCGATCCCCGGAAATTCCTGGAGAAGGGCCGCCCCCGTCCCCTCTCCGGGCAGCGCCGGTCCTCACAGCCCGCCCTCACCTCCCCCTCCTCTCCTCCCCACGACGCTGCCCCGGCTCTGGCTACCCCGCCAGACGCCTCACCGGGCACCAGGACCGCCCCCAGCGAGGCTGGAGCCTGTCCCCCAGGCTGCTCTCCCCTGCATCTCTGTGCCGGGCTGCGCCTTCGTAGGGATCCTTACCCGGCCGAATTGGTGATGGGGAATCGGTGATGGCTGCGCAGCATCTGGCGAGGGCAGGAACCCGCGGGGAAGGGAAAGGGGGAGAGAAGGGGCCCAAGGAGAGGCGGCGCTTCGCTCCTCGACTCCAGGCCTGGGACGTGACTCACAGTCTTCCCCCGTTCGCCCTTCTGCCCTGGGGGTTTCGGGAGGCGGGAGGATCGCATAAAATTGGTACCAGAGTCGGAACGAGGTACCCACCGAGGAGAGAGACGTCCGAAGTCTGGTGTCTTTTCCTCTAAGGCTGCTGTGTAGTTAGGAGGATGGGAAAGCTGAAGACCAAGCTACCTCTCTCGATGGAGGATAAAGACAGGCTAAGTGGACGGGAAACACAGCTCTTTGGGGTGGTTACCGCTCTAGAACACGAGGACTCCCCTCTGGTATGGGCGTTCATTGCTTTAGCCCCATTGGAATCTTCTCCCCCAAGAACAATTTTTCCTTTTTACAAAGTCTTTCAGGATAAAAGGGGCACAACCAATTTCGCTGTCTAAGGGGACATCTCTGGTTCCATTAGGTTGGAAAGGGAACACAGAAAGGACGGAGTGTGGGTGGGTGAGGCACAGCCCCTTCAGAGAAGCAAACCTGAGCATCATGGAACCTTGCTCTGGGCCAGGTTCCGTGGTTCACGCGTGTAATCCTAGCACTCCGGGAGACCGAGGCGAGAGGATCCCTTAAGGCCAGGAGTTCAAGACCAACCTGAGCAAGAGTAAGACCCCGTCTCTACTAAAAATAGAAAAAATTAGCCGAGCATGGTGGTGCGTGCCTGTCTGTAGTCTCAGCTGCTCCGGAGGCTGAGGCAGGAGGATTGCTTGAGCCCAGCTAGGCTGATGCCATGGCACTCTAGCCCAGGCGACAGAGTCAGCCTCTGTCTCAAAAAATAAAAAAAAAGAAAAGAAAAGAAACTTTGTGTCAGAACTGAATTTGATGACTGGGACAGGAAAGAGATGACTAGTTTAGGGCAGGGGACTGTGAGTGAAATTTTTCAGAGGAAGAACTAGAGAATACTGGAGAAATCTGTATACTGGAGAAATCTGTGCGCTGGGTATTTGGCATATGTTTTTTTCTTTTTGGGGGGGAGTATTTGGAATATTGATAGAACTTCTTCAAGAGTATTATCAGAAAAACGCAGGAAAATTAACAGTGTCACGGATAAAGAGGGGGCAGATGTGGCAGCTTTGTATCTCTTCTGATACTTCTCCCCCTCCTGACTCGATTTTCTCTGCCACCAAATCACTGTGTTGTTGATAATCCACATCCCTCTCTGGACCTCAATTTCTACAGATGTTGTTTAAGAAGTTAGACCGGGAAAATCCTGCTCTAACGCTCTAGAACTTAACTGCATCCAACTTCCCGAGTCATTCTAATGGCATTCTTTCTGGCTGGCAGTGTTCCCGTCTCCTGACAGTGCAATCCTGTCTTCTCTGAGACTGGAAATTGTTGAAGATGGGAAGCGCCCTGGACCAAACCTGAACTGCAGCCTGCTGTCCCACAGGCGTGAGCAAATAAACACGTGTCTTTAAAAAACTACAACCCCCAAGAAGCTTTACGGCTTTCGGAGGGGCGGGATAGCGCATGCATAATCCCTCTCGCGGAGCAATTTAATCAAACTACCGTTCCCGGCGTGCGCCACTCTACAGATTATGCAATCAGCTCTAAGTAAAAAGCATCGCGAGTCTTTGGTGAGATTTGGCGCTATAAGCCCGTGGAAACGGGCCCCAGAGACCCTTTTCACAAGATGGCGCCGAAGGTGAAGAAGGAAGGTGTGTGTGAGTTGGGGATGGGGACTACAGCTGGTTTGCCTGGGATCCTTGCAGAGCGAACGAATTAAGAGTACGGCGGCTGGGCTAGGTCTAGAGCGCCCTGCTACGGAGCTGTCTCCCGCGTTTGGGCCATGCTGCGGCGTCCGTGGGCCGCGTGGGCCCAGCCGCATGGGCTGGGTCCCGGTGAAGGGGACTGGTGAGGGAACTCGGCCGGCATCGCCTTCCCGAGAGAGTCGGATAGTCGGCGTTGGGAAGCTGCACAGGCTGGCGCTCCATGTTTTCAGGCATGTGAGGAATTGGTGTCCTCTGCTTTTCTCATTTTTCTTCCGTTTCATTTTAAACGGGACTATATGCCCACCACTCCCCGTTGTTTTGCTATGGTATGTATAAAAGTCCTAGCACACATCTTGACAAGTATCGAGTGTTCGTTCAGTGCTGGTTACTTTTTTTTGTTTCGTCGTATCCCTGGAGTTACTCCAAGTTGGTCACCTTCGCCCTAAGTATCGTGCATATGATGGAAAAATCTTAATCTCCTGAGACTTGTGATGTCTTCAAAGGAACCACTGATGCACGTGTGACCATGGGCGCCCCAAGACAGATCTTGAGACCGTTAAGTGAGCGATTTTCTGAATCCAGCACTCTAATTTTCTTTCCTTCTCTACCAGCTCCTGCTCCTCCGAAAGCCGAAGCCAAAGCAAAGGCTTTGAAGGCCAAGAAGGCAGTGCTAAAAGGCGTCCACAGCCACAAAAAAAAGAAGATCCGTACATCACCCACCTTCCGGCGGCCAAAGACGTTGCGGCTCCGGAGGCAGCCCAAATATCCTCGGAAGAGCGCTCCCAGGAGAAACAAGTCAGTACTCCCCCCTTACCCGTGAAAAGATGTTTGGGTGTATCTTCCGTTGGTAATTTGGAAATTTACCGCCCCTAGAGCATGGCTTCTCAAACATACCTTGGCACCTAATGTGCTTCTGTAACGGGAATATGAGATTATTCCTGTCTTATTTAAGAACAAGAGAATTTTTTTTACAATACTGGCAGGAATTCTGTTTAAATCGACCCAGAGTTTTCTGTTAGGTTAATGATTACTTCACATGTGGTCAGGGTTTGAAAATCCTTTCCTTTTTTTTTTTTTTCTGAGAGTATAAAGTAGAATTAAAGAGATCCTCCTTCAAGTTCCAGCTTTAGTTCCTTGCTTGTGGCATCTACTGCTGTAGGGAACAGTCTCTTAAGAGTAAGGATATGGGTTGATTCTTGATTGATAATGGGGGTTCGGTTATCTGTATTGGGCAGTGATGTACAGAAGTTTCTTTTTGTTCTCCCAAATTTTCACACTGTGCTCAAGGAATGGGGGTGGAATGGGCAAAAAGTTTGGGCACTTGATTTTTTTGGTATCAAACTACTGGTAATAACTGACTCTTCAGGGACCACAGATTAGAGTAGAGCCATGCTAGTAGTTGCTACCAATGAGTTTTTGCTGCTTCCAGTGTTTCCAAAGAGAATGGAGTGGGTTGTGTCCATGTAGGAAAGCAGTTAATAGACTCTCCTCCGATTTGGGCCTAGAATTTAATGTGGTAAGAGATTGAGTCCTGATCTAGCTTCAAAACAGGAAAGTAGTGTCTGGATAAACAGAGCATGGTTTCTCTGAATTTCAGGTGGAAAGCTATGTTCTAGCTGTGTGTGCTCAAGCTACTGCAAGTTTAACCTGAGCTTGTAATCAGTTGCTCTCAAGAAGATTTGGTGGCCCTCGAGCATAGAACCCACTACCAGCAACTAAAGGAGGCAAAAATGTATGATCCAGTGTCATAGTGAAGCACCAACACAGAACTCTAGCAAATGAAAGAATTTAAATAAAAGATGATTCTTGGCCGGGCGTGGTGGCTCACGCCTGTAATCCTAGCACTCTGGGAGGCCGAGGTGGGTGGATCGCTCAGAAGTTCGAGACCAGCCTGAGCAAGAGCGAGACCCAGTCTCTACTAAAAATAGAAAGAAATTAATCGGACAACTACACATATATACGAGACGCCGTTGCTGCCTGGTGGCGCATGCCTGTAGTCCCAGCTACTCGGGAGGCTGAGGCAGAGTGATCCCAGGCTCGCGAGGTTGCTTTGAGCTAGGATGATGCCATGGTACTCTAGCCCGGGCAACACAGTGAGACTCTGTCTCAAAAAAAAAAAAAAAAGATGATTCTTTAATAATTTAAAGAATGAGAGCCTTTCAAGTGAAAGAAAATGCACGGGGTTCTATCCCCCTGCTGGGCTGTCAGGCCCTTAGATTTTTGGGTGCAGATGATGACATTATAAAGCGACCAAAGTCTGACCAAAGTGATTCTACCTCATTGTCTGATGCACCTAGGCTTTCCTGGGCTTGAGCTCCCCAAGACAACCCATCCTGCTAGGCCCAGGCCAGATGACCCCATTTTGCCTTTTCCCCAGGCTTGATCACTATGCCATCATCAAGTTCCCCTTGACCACTGAGTCTGCCATGAAGAAGATAGAAGACAACAACACACTTGTGTTCATTGTGGATGTCAAAGCCAATAAGCACCAGATCAAACAGGCTGTGAAGAAGCTCTATGACATTGATGTGGCCAAGGTCAACACCCTGATCAGGTAAGTGGAGCCCTAAGGGATGGGGAGGCCAGGCCACAGTCAGAAGCCAGAAAACCTGTATGCTGTAAAGTTCCTTGCAAAACACAGGGTGCCATCCTTGAGACACAAGCACTCCTGCTGTAATTATAGTCCTTTGTGTGGAGTATAGACCAGAGGAAAATGTCCTTCTAGGACTTGATTTATAGGGTTGGTACTCATTTTTTTGGTCCCTACCTCTGTTGGCAGAGGCCACTAGAGTTAGACAGTTCATATTAGATATTCTTGGTTTAAGTCTTAAAATGACCTGTGATGATTCCCATAAAAGGGAATTGGCTTTGTGGCTTCTCTAGCCCCCACAGGGCAAATGAGGGAAAGATAATTATCTGGAAAAGAATGACAGGAACAAAGGAACCACTTAAATGCCAGAAGACAAGGGGGGAGGGTATGGGGGCAGTGAGGGCAGCAGGGACTGAGGATTCCCTCTCCACCCTAGGCCTGATGGAGAGAAGAAGGCATATGTTCGACTGGCTCCCGATTATGATGCTTTGGATGTTGCCAACAAAGTAAGCTTCCTTTCCTATAGACTCCTTAATACCCGCCCCCCTGGGTGTGAGTGATGTGTCTATTAGTGACCAAAGTCTGAGTTTTGCTGATGAGTCATAATTGACTGCACCCCATCTTTAATAAGCCTTACCCTTATGTTCCCTCATTTTCCTTTTTAACCATGACATTCCAGCTTAATTTTAACATTTCAGCTCCAATAACAAAGCTCCCTTTTGTTTTTCAGATTGGGATCATCTAAACCAAGTCCAACTGGCTAATTCTAAATATATATGTTTTCACCTTATCTGTGCTTCTTGTCTTTATGTCAGATTGTGGTTGGATTTGTGGGGGTGGGCATTCTGTGGTTTACACAGGTACTGAGGTGGTCAAAGGGTCAGTTGTGGACAAGACTCTTGTACTTAACCTCTTGTGACACCTTATCACTCCACCATACTTGTTATAATTCCTGGTGGTAGGAGCTCAGGTATGAGAGACTTTTGTGAATCTGACTAGGGTTAGTTGTCTAGGAAAACTACAGCTTGCCTCCAGCATGGGAGGAAAAGAACAAGCAGCTTTACAAGAACCACTTTATCCCTGGAAGGGGCTGTGTGCGACACCAATGCCTAGAGTTTGCAGGAGAGGAGGGATAAACTCAGTTTTCATTAGCATCAATTTCAGGGCAGTGTGGGTTGGCTGGCTTTCTGGTAGCACCTAGTTCTCATACACCCATCTACTATGTCCAACCGGTCTGTCTGCTTCCCTCACCCCTTGCCCAAGAAAGGACAAGGACTTCAGAGGAGTGCTTTCATTAGTATTTTCAATAGTGTGGGTGCAGGCTTTGAAGGTGGAGAGGCTGGCCCCAGAGGACGCCCAGGCTTGGGGTTAAGTCCCAGCTTATATGTGAGGCTGTTTCTGTTCTTGGCTGTGTTTGCTGTCCTTGCCACGAGTCCCAGGCTCTGTGTCTTTCACTCAGTCAAGAATTTGTCTTTGTGTTGTTGGCTGGGGACACGCTCAGGGCAGAAGTCAGAACGGAGGAGTCGGGAAAAGTAGATGAGGATCATCACATCCAGCAGGAGGAGGATACCCAGCAGAAAAGTGCCCAGGGTCCTCTGGCCCACAAAACGCAAGAAGTAACGGGTGAGGTAGGCCTGAGGGGCCAGGCGGAAGAGAAAGTACATGACCAGGTTGACATACTTGTTGACCTGGTAGAGGAGGAGATCCTGGGCATTGTTGATTTTCATCATCATGCGGATGGTGAGGAAGATGTTGCTGACCTCCACCAGTAGTGTTAGGACTCCCCCACCAACAAAGCTGCTCCAAAAGATGCCTGAGAAGAAGGCGCCCATGGCCTAGAGGGTGAGGGAGAGAGAACAGAGATTAGGGAACCCAGATGCCAAGGCTTTCCTGGGAGCTGGTGCGAGAAGCTGACCACCAGAATTATGGCTGGAAAATCCCTAATTTCTTCCTTCTGGAATTTTTTCTTTTTTCCAACATGATTAGACTTTGATCCCTGCTCACAGGTTCTGGCTCTGGGTGATGTTTCCAGTCTGTTTAAGGAGGTAGTAGGTGAGATCATGGATTGCTGGCCTCAGACCTGTGAACAAGAGTACAAAGACTACCACCCCCCAGCACCCTAGCATGGGAAGTAATACACAGGTGGGAGGGAGTTACGAAAAGATGGCCTTCTCCCAGGTTCAGAAAGACGAGCCTGAGACCACTAGCACCAGCACTAGGCCTATAGCACACTGCCTGCTTCTCTCTTACCATGACATGATGGACAAGGTATTCCCAAGAAGCTCGAGACTGACGACTAACCACGATGTCCACCGTGTCGTGGATGAAATACCCTAGGGAATGGATGGGGGAGGAGGTCATAAAGGGAACTGAACAAGCAGCTTTCTTCTTGTCCCCAAACTCCCACTTTCTGGGCAAGACCTACCTGCGGAGAAGCAAACAAGCAAATAGCCAGAAAGCGACCATGCCGTCTCAATCTCCACCAGCATCTCGGGGGTCTGCCATACACTGCAAGGGCGGAAAGAGGGGAGGCTCTCTTCATTTCCGCACCCCCAGGGACCTTCACTTTCCCCATTACCCCTGGTCCCAGGAGACCCTGGGCTTGCGATATTGCCTGGAGCGAGGAGGGGCTTGGCCAAAACCCGGGTGCCTCGTTTCCCAGGTGAGCTCCTCCTCGCCTGAGGCCGCTGCGGCTCCTGGTTGGATAAGAGTCCAAACAGGGAATCAGGTGAGACAACATGGCCTTCAGCCCGCCGGTGAGTGAGGGGGTAGTAGCACGGGAGCCACCCCAGCGCCCCGTGCAGGATCCCCTCGCCACTTCATTTCCCCAGCCACTCACTCACCACAGCAGCGCCCAGGTCCCTGATACAATGGAGTGGGCGAAGGAGACTAGCAGATTGTGCCAGCGCCAGGTGCGTAGGGGGTTGGCGCGCACGTGTGCCGGTAGGGGCAGGCGACAGAGCGCGTGCCGGAGTGCCCGGAAGATCAGCGTGGCGCCCAGGAGCAGCGGCAGGGCGGGGTGCAGCAGTGGGGCCATGCTGGCCCTCCCTGCTGTCTGTCCGCCCTCTAGGCCACCTCTCCGGGCTGTTCTGGAAACGGGGATCTGTCTCGGGCTAGTCCACCACGGCCGCCTCTCGAGCCGGCCGCCAGCCCGACACAGCACTCGCGAAGCCCTCTAGGCCCCTTCGCTCCTCCCTGCGCTCCCCGTCGGGCCACCGCCCCCGCCCCGCCCCGCCCCGCCCGCTTGCCCCCGCCCCTCAGGCGCCTCTGCTGTGTGGAGGACGCGGGCCCCATTTCCCCCGGGCCCTGCCTGGCTCCCGCGGACTTCGGGCAATAAGGGGCAGTCCTGGGGGTGCCGCCGCCAAGGCACCCCTCGCTGGCGCCTCCCGACTGCCGACGGAATCCCCAGCAGCCCTCGCTCGCTTGGCCTCATTAACCCGCGTCCCCACTACCCCCGGGCCACCGGCTCCCCAGCCCCGGGCGGGTACCGCGAGAACTCTCTCTCCGCCTTCTACTCCTTTCTAGGCAGAGCTGGGCGGTACCCGTCCCTCACCTCGTCCCCTAAACCTGGGTACTGGGGAGGGGTCGGTTTGGGCTCCGCCCAGACGCTATTGCTCCACTGGATCCCTGTCTTCTTCTGTCCAGAGACGGCCGTATTTACCTGCCTGTCCGCGCCCCGCATGAGTGGGTGCTTAGGAACTGCTGAGTAACTCATCACCACCTCCCCTCACAGCCCGCTCCTGGGCTCCTGGGGCCGAGCGGCTGTCACAGTCCTCCCTCAGACAGTCCCAGCCCTCTTTGCCCGGATCCCTGGAGGCTGGGGCGGGGAAGACTGCCGATTTGCCCAGACTGCTGCGGCGACCCTCTCCAACCAGTGACGTGCAGCGGTTGCGATTTCTGGCCACTAGGTGTCAGGCTGTCCTCATTGTGGCACAGGGTCCCCCTCCTGCCTCCAAACCGGCAAAGCCATTGCTTTTGGGGGAGTTAGGGACATTGGCCGAATGGAGCAGCTGAGAACCCATGGGAGAAGTGAAGCGGTGTGGGGATTTGGGGGTAAGGGGAGGCGAGAATGGAAGTTGAGGGGAGGGGAGAAGTGGGAGCGAGGGGAAAGGTGCTGCGAGAGGGAGGAAGGTAGAAATCTTAGGCGTGAGGAACCAGGGACCAAGCAATCTGGGTGTTTGCTCTGCCTCCCCAATGGCTCCAAGGTTACACATTAACCCCTGTGGGGCTCCTGAGTCAAACAAGGCCCGTTGGTTTCTAGGCAAGAGCACGAATGCCCCGGGTGAGCTGCTTTCCACCTCTGTACTCCTCTTTGCTCACAGGACAGCTTTGTCCGCCAGCGGACACCGGTCTGAGCCAGCTACCGAGGGACCTTCGTGGAGCCCTCCCAGTGGTCATTCCACAGGGGCAGTTTTGGGCGCCCTTTCGAGGGATAGGGCCAGAAGATAAAACACCCCTTTCCTCACATTCCTTGACCACTCTGAAATAGGGATGCTAACTCTTTTTTTTTTTTTCTTTTTTGAGACAGAGTCTCACTCTCTTGCCTGGGGCGAGTGCTGTGGCGTCAGCCTGGCTCACAGCAACCTCAAACTCCTGGGCTCAAGCAATCCTACTGTCTCAGCCTCCCGAGTAGCTGGGACCACAGACACGCGCCACCATGCCCAGCTAATTTTTTCTACATATGTTTTTAGCTGTCCAATTAATTTCTTTCCATTTTTGGTAGAGACTGGGTCTCGCTCTTGCTCAGGCTAGTCTCGAACTCCTGAGCTCAGAACCATCCGCCTGCCTCGGCCTCCCAGAGTGCTAGGATTACAGGCGTGAGCCACCGCGCCCGGCCGAAGCTAACTCTTAATGAATGATCATCCCTCCTTACAGCGCTCCCGCAGAGCAGGAGGCGCCAGGGAGAACCTGGAATTAAACTCACTTCCAGTCAAGACCTGGCCAGAGTCTAGCCCATTCTAACCAGCCCCTACCTCTGGGCAGACACCTTGAACCATCTCGGCCAAACGGCGGTCTTTCCCTCTCTCCCAGCCTCTTTCAGATAGCGTTCCCCTTCCCTCCCATCTTCCCCCAAGTAGGTTCTCCCCTAGATTACCTTACTGTAGCGCTGTGTGCGCGGAGGGGGAGCTGAGAGTGCCCACAGCCTGGAGCCCGTGTCATTTCCTCCCCAGGTGAATCAATCTGCACAACCCGGGGTTTCCCCGGCCCCTCCCTAGGCAAACACGAAACTAACCCTGCTCTCGGTTCAGTTTTGGTTATCATCGTTTGAGTGCCAACGAGAATCTGCTTCTTTCTCCTGAAACAGCGTCACTCGTGGGAAAGGGGAGGTCTGATCCTCGCTTCCCAGCCTCACCCGACCTTTGGGGGCAACTCTCGGGAGCGGGCATCCCTCCCGTCTAACGAGTTTGGCGAGGGCCGGATCCGACTGTGGGAAGGAGCCGGTACTGTGCTGGCCACGTGGGGTGCGTCTTATTGTTTTGCCCTTTTCCTAGAGCCTGCGTGGGACGGCGTCCCGAGAGGAAAGTGATTGCGCGCCTGAGCGGTTGGCACGCCGTAAATCCACAAAGACAGACGCGAGGCGGAGCCCACGCCTAGCTCTGCTCGCCCCGCCCCGCAAACATCTCGCAGCGCAGGGGGCGAGGCCCTAGAGTGGGCGGGCCCGCGCACGCGCCGCGTGGGGGGATTCCGGAAGCGAAACCCAGAAAGGAGATGGAGAAGTACGAGCGGATCCGAGTGGTGGGGAGAGGTGCCTTCGGGTGAGCCAGGACTCGGGGGGGAGGAAAGTGCTGGGAGACAGGGAAAATGAGCCTCAACTTTGCCCGCGACACTGCTGCCCCGCTGGCCCCGCCCCTAGGCGTGAGCGCCACTCTGGGCAGCCCCGCCCTAGCTTCCGGTCCCAGTGGGGAGACTCCGCCTCTAAGGAGGCCACGCCCCCGGCAAGCCTCCGTGCGCCCGCTGAGCTGTTGGATTCCTCTCTTCTCTCGTTCTTTCCACGGGTACTGCGCGCCACCTCTGCGCGCTGGGTCCTAACCAAACAGGCGTGGGCTTTTCCCTCTTGAACCTCACAGACTATGGAAAAATTAGACAGTAAACAAGACATCGTTAAAACAGTTATGAGGTTATTAACAGGCTGCGAGTAAAGCGTACACCACCAGGCAGAATTCTGAGAGGTGAGATTTGAAGCCAAGACTCCAGGAATGAGCACCAGTAGTCTGCAGGTGAAGGAAGAGCTTTGCAGACAGAGGAAATTGCATATGTGACGTTTCTCACGTGGGAAAGCAGAGTATTCAAGGAACTAAGAAAAACACTAGTGTAGTTGGAATGTAGTGGGCAAGGTAACAAATGATATAAAATGTGACTCACGTAGGGCGGGAACCAGTTTATGGTTTCCTAAACTGAGGTAAAAGGGTTGAATTCATTTGCCATGTAAGGGGAAGACTTTTTTTTTTTTTTTTTGAGACAAAGTTTTGCTCTGTCACCCAGGCTAGAGTGCCAGGGCATCAGCTTAGCTCACAGCAACCTCGAACTCCTAGGTTCACGTGGCCCTCCTGCCTCAGCCTCCCAAGTAGCTGGGACTACAGGCGCACACCACCACACCCTGCTAAATTTTTCTATGTTAAATAGAGATGGGGTCTCGCTCTTGCTGAGGCTGGTCTCGAACTCCTGACCTCAAGCCATCCTCCCACCTCAGCCTCCCAGAGTGCAAGGATTACAGGTGTAAGTCACCACGCCTGGCCAAGGGGAAGAATTTTAAAGCAGAGAAATGGTCTGATGTGATTTGCGGGAGTTTTGGAGGGGGGTTTTGGGTTTTCAGTTTTTTGTTTTTCTTTTTTTTTTTTTTTGAGACAGAGTCTCATTCTGTCGCCCTGGGTAGAGCATAGTGATGTCATGTCTTCATAGCTCACAGCAACCTCAAACTCCTGGGCTCAAGGGATCCTCCTGCCTCAGCCTGCCAGAGGGCTAGGATTACAGGTGTAAGCCACTTCACTGGGCCTTGATTTGGGTTTTTAAAATGTCATTCCGGCTGCTGTGTGGAATTTAGTTAGATTTGAGGGTGACAGGAGTGAAAGGGACCACTTTGGAGACTAAGTGCAGTATTTTAGTCAACAAATGATGGGCCGGGTTCAGGCCTGTAATCCCAGCACTCTGGGAGGCTGAGGCGGGAGGATCGCTTGAGGTTAGGAGTTTGAGACCAGCCTGAGCAAGAGTGAGACCCCCATTTCAGTATACTAACAATAGAAAAATTAGCCAGGCGTGGTGACACGTGCCTGTAATCCCAGCGACTTGGGAGGCTGAGGCAAGAGAATCACTTGAGCCCAGGAGTCTGAAATTGCTATGAGCTAGGCTGACACCACAGCACTCTAGCCTGGGCAACAGAGCAAGACTCTGTTTCAAAAAAAAAAGAAAAATGATGATGACTTGGGCAAGAGTTATAGCAGAGAGCACAGAGAATTAGATGGATTTACAATACTTTGGCCAGGTGCGGTGGCTCACGCCTGTAATCCTAGCACTCTGGGAGGCCAAGGCGGGTGGATTGCTTGAGCTCAGGAGTTCAAGACCAGCCTCAGCAAGAGCGAGACTCCATCTCTACTATAAATAGAAATAAATTAGCCAAACAACTAAAATTAGAAAAAATTAGCCGGGCATGGTGGCGAGTGCCTGTAGTCCCAGCTACCCGGGAGGCTGAGGCAGGAGGATCGCTTGAGCCCAGGAGTTTGAGGTTGCTGTGAGCTAGGCTGACGCCATGGTACTCTAGCCTGGGCAACACAGTGAGACTCTGTCTCAAAAAAAATAAATGAATAAAAAATAAAAATAAAAAATACAATACTTTGGAGGTAGAAACAGGATTTGCTGATACGTTATTATGAAGTGGAGGAAAAAATCTGGGATGATTTTCAGGTGCCTGATTTTAGTAACTGGGTGATGGTGGTGTCATTTACTGAGATGGAAGAGACTGAGGAAGGAAAGGTCCAGGGGCAGGAATCAAGAGTTTTAATTTGAATTTGATAAAATTTAGGATGCCTGTGTGCCATTCAGGTAGGGATACAAAGCAGGTAGTTGGATATCTGAGTCTGGGGTTCAGAGGAGAAGTCTAAACTGAAGATAAAAAATTGAGACAGGCTGGGTACAGTGGCTCACGCCTGTAATCCTAGCACTTCAGGAGGCTGAGGTGGGAGATCACTTGAGGCCAGGAGTTCAAGACCAGCCTGGGCAATAGTGACCTTGTCTCTACAAAAAGAAAAAAAAAAAACTAAGCGGTACACACTTGTAGTCCCAGCTACTCGGGGAGGCTGAGGCAGGACGATCGCTTTCATCCAGGAATTTGAGGTTGCAGTGAGCTATTATGAAACCAGTGCACTCTACTAGCCTGGGCAACAGAGGGAGACCCTGTCTCAAGAAAAAAAAAGAAAAAAGGAGACTTGTATGATTAGCTTATAGTTCATTCCTTCAGCAAATACTTTTAACTCTTTGTGTGTGCTAAATACTGGGCTATGCACTGGGGATAGAGTGGTGAACAAGAAGGATGTAGTCACTGCTTTTATGGACACTGACCACAGAGCTCAAATAAAATAATAATATGGCTAGGGGTGGTGCATGCCTGTAGTCTCAGCTACTCAGGAAGCTGAGGCAGAAGAATCTACTCAGCAAGCTGAGGCTAGGAGTTCGAGAGCAGCCTAAGCAACATAGCAAGACCGTGTCCTTAAAAATATATATAAATAAATAAATATATATGAAGAAGAATGGCTTCTATTCATTGAGCGTTTTCTATTTGCTAGGCAGTATGCTAAGTGCCTTACATGCATTTTCTCATTTGATCCTCTCAGCAACCCTGTGAGGTTGATTTTATTTTCCAGATGATGATGTCACATAACCTATGCAAACCAGGTAACTAGTGAGAGGAGGAGCCTGGTTTTTTTTGTTTGTTTGTTTTGTTTTTTGAGACAGAGTCTCACTGTGTTGCTCGGGCTAGAGTTCCGTGGCGTCAGCCTAGCTCATAGCAACCTCAAACTCCTGGGCTCAAGCAATCCTTCTGCCTCAGCCTCCCGAGTAGCTGGGACTACAGGCGCACACCACCACACCCTGCTAAATTTTTCTATGTTAAATAGAGATGGGGTCTCGCTCTTGCTGAGGCTGGTCTCGAACTCCTGACCTCAAGCCATCCTCCCACCTCAGCCTCCCAGAGTGCAAGGATTACAGGTGTAAGTCACCACGCCTGGCCAAGGGGAAGAATTTTAAAGCAGAGAAATGGTCTGATGTGATTTGCGGGAGTTTTGGAGGGGGGTTTTGGGTTTTCAGTTTTTTGTTTTTCTTTTTTTTTTTTTTTGAGACAGAGTCTCATTCTGTCGCCCTGGGTAGAGCATAGTGATGTCATGTCTTCATAGCTCACAGCAACCTCAAACTCCTGGGCTCAAGGGATCCTCCTGCCTCAGCCTGCCAGAGGGCTAGGATTACAGGTGTAAGCCACTTCACTGGGCCTTGATTTGGGTTTTTAAAATGTCATTCCGGCTGCTGTGTGGAATTTAGTTAGATTTGAGGGTGACAGGAGTGAAAGGGACCACTTTGGAGACTAAGTGCAGTATTTTAGTCAACAAATGATGGGCCGGGTTCAGGCCTGTAATCCCAGCACTCTGGGAGGCTGAGGCGGGAGGATCGCTTGAGGTTAGGAGTTTGAGACCAGCCTGAGCAAGAGTGAGACCCCCATTTCAGTATACTAACAATAGAAAAATTAGCCAGGCGTGGTGACACGTGCCTGTAATCCCAGCTACTTGGGAGGCTGAGGCAAGAGAATCACTTGAGCCCAGGAGTCTGAAATTGCTATGAGCTAGGCTGACACCACAGCACTCTAGCCTGGGCAACAGAGCAAGACTCTGTTTCAAAAAAAAAAGAAAAATGATGATGACTTGGGCAAGAGTTATAGCAGAGAGCACAGAGAATTAGATGGATTTACAATACTTTGGCCAGGTGCGGTGGCTCACGCCTGTAATCCTAGCACTCTGGGAGGCCAAGGCGGGTGGATTGCTTGAGCTCAGGAGTTCAAGACCAGCCTCAGCAAGAGCGAGACTCCATCTCTACTATAAATAGAAATAAATTAGCCAAACAACTAAAATTAGAAAAAATTAGCCGGGCATGGTGGCGAGTGCCTGTAGTCCCAGCTACCCGGGAGGCTGAGGCAGGAGGATCGCTTGAGCCCAGGAGTTTGAGGTTGCTGTGAGCTAGGCTGACGCCATGGTACTC